GAGATTTTTGTGAAACTTTACCTATTGATTGTTTATATTATAGGAACTTAAATTTTGAAATAAAAATGAGGGGTGCCCATGTTCGTTGCGCTTAGGAGCAACAGCACCTTGTTTATACCCAATAAATCCTTATAATAGCACCATGATTGTAATCACGATAACTTGCCAAATTCACGTTTCCGACGATTGTCTTTTGTTCTACACTGAGAATCGGTCCATATTTATTTTACACAGAGAAATTTATTACTCAATTCAAAACAACAGAAAAAAATGATGGATCACCATACTCGTTTGCGAGAAAATGACGATTTACCTCTATGGCGAGGACCAGCCGTAATGAAAAAGCCGCCATTTTTCAATGCGCGCGCGCTAATCACGCGTTAAATTATGCACAGTAGGGATGCGCAATGCAATACTGGGAAATGACCTTAACAACCCAGAGATCCCTAAGCGATAGCGCGATTATGAAATTTTCAAGCGAGTGCTTGGTTTGAAGGTATATTGGAGGTATATTGAAGGTATAATTTATTGCGAAAAATTCCTAAAAACTGTGAAACATCCAGATCGACTTACTTACTCTATTCTCTTAGGTCTGTAAGAATGTCACCCGCTTTAATAATCTGAAGGGGCAGACCCAGGATTTTTCGTAGGAGGGGGTACACCACTAAGGAATGGTGTAACTGACTGGTGAAGTCAAATTCTAAAAGCAAATACGCAGAAGAAGGCCTCATCTCAGCGGGGGGGGGAGAGGTGGTGCGCACCCCCTGCACCATCTCCCTAGATCCGTCTCTGATCTGTAGAGCATGGCGTCTACCTTAACGTATTTTGTCCCTGGGCTAAGTGAGCATTATTTTCGTGTACGCTCTCCTGAGTGGGTTCATTTGCAAACGGACAACTATCTTCGTTTTCTCGGATGAAAAATCTCATACTGACTCTATTCGTTTTTTTTTTTTTTTTTTTTTTCGTGAAAGTCTAGTACCCAGGTGCGCTCGTTTCATAGATATTTCCTTTCATGGACAGGCGCAAACGAGCCGAAAACAGTTCTAGGGCTCGGGTAGTACACAAGTACCCAAGATGCTCTACGAGATCTCACAGTACAAACGAGAGCGCACGTTCTACAGCTAGCAGAAAGTATTGAAAATACTTTTTCGGTTGTTTGGGTTGGTTAAGTTTTTTTTCTTAATTGGAAAACCTGTTTTTGGTTGGTTTGTTTTTCAACAAGACAAAACAAAATTCAAGCCAACCCTAAAAGATTGATCCAAATTTACAACGTCGAATTCAGTCTTATAAATCTCGCAAGTTTCGACGTTCACCTCCATCGTAATAAATATTTATAACGGAAGTTAAAAGGAAATGAAAATTGCAATTTTATTTAAATTTTTGCTTCCTTCATTGTTATTTGCAGCCAAACAAACAGAACTTAATGTTTGTGAATAAAACAACCAAGACTTGATTCAAACGTGGTTTTCTTTTTGCTTAGTGAAGCGTGACATGTTTTTCTGTTTCAATATTAAAACAATTTTAATTCGGGAGTAATTTAAAAAACAATAGAGCAGTCTTCTGACAACATCTCCATGAGGGATTCGATTTTTCCCTTGCGAAAACTTGTTTGCTTCTCAGAACCAATATTAAGATATATTTCGCGGAAAAATTTCAACGCATACTTTCATACACGGTAATTATGCGATTATAATCGCGTGATGTTTAGTTTTTGAGATGCGGATATCAAATCGCATAAATTAGTAACTCGCTTGATGTAGATTTCCGCAGGGGTCCAGAATTTTTCTTCAATTTAGAAATATTTTAAAAAATTAAATCAATTTTCTCCGTTATCTTATCACTTCAACTTGTTAATTTTTGTTACTGGCTCGTTAGTTACTGTAATAAATTGTTGTGGCGTAAAATACAGGTAGAATTTACGACATGTTTTAATAATTGGCATGAAAATAATATTGCATTGCAAAGTGTAGTGAAGGAAGACCTTTCAAAAAATATCGAGTCTCTTTCAAATGGTTACACTGGGCTACGGAATCCATGAACACGCAAATGTCTTGTAGAAAGTTAGGGTTATTACGGTTTAATATTACCCATTCAATCTTCCTTAAACAAAATTATCTAATTTCGAAGCGAGACAAACCGCTCTACGGATGTACCCAACATATCTATTTAGTCCGAAGTAGCTTCACAGAATGTCAGAAGGTCGTCTTCGAAACTAACGGCAGGTAGACAGTACAAAACATTGCTTGTGAAATTAACACATGCAGCTACTGACACATGACAGAAGCAACTGACACATGTAATCAACACGCTTCTTCGATGTTATCAAACTCAAAACGATAATTTTGCGATTAAGTGATTAACGCTCGATATTCCACTGTTGCTTAAAGGGTTTTAAGTTCAAGTAAAAACAATAAATATTAAAACTGAGACCGTCTGAAAAAATAACCAAATGAGAACGTGACCGATCCATTTTCCTTTATCATTAACTCTTTACGGTTGAACGTGTGGTCGTGACGTATTGTCAAGTTTTTCGACACTAGGATCTGTCATGTAAAGCCGGTGTGGATGCTAAATAGCCAAAGAAGACAATAAAAAGCAAATTTCTTTCCTTTGACATTGCCGTTTATCGGAAGACGACGAAGAAGCCGACGAAGTAGAAACCAATTAGCCTTAAGATCAGCCATGAAAAGCTAAACGTTATTCTCACATGATCAGAGATTCTTTAAATAGTTTTGTATCTAAAACAATCCTTTCTAAACATAAGACTATCCTAAGGAACAAGAAACAGTACATTACTGTCCATGCAAACAACTAAACAATGGCGAAATTTACTGATACTCGAAATCAATGAACAGCGCACTCACCGGAGACTCGGCGAAGTCACCCGAGTTAGAGTACAATAAACGGAACTGTATGAGGCGGAATTCTTCCCTCACTTCTTGAAGCTCAATCCTCCACATTTCGACTTCAAAATGTTCCAGGTTGAAGATCAGAATGGAAGTTTAATACTGATATCGGCACATGCTCGAATTCAATGGCGTTACTCTGAACATCTCAAACACTTTCATGACATTATGCTGATTAGTTTAACAATATAATGACGATGTCCCTAGGGTGATTTGTGTCTGACCACGTGCTTATACCAGCGGTAGGCCAAAGGGATGGTATTTGACGTCAAGCTTCTCACGCGATGTGTGTGTCATTTGAACGGCGTACTCGCTCTTAATTTACCGAAATTTCTCTGTAAATACCATTGCTGCACTCAAAACTGAAACACTAATCTAAGATATATGGGTTATTTTTTCAACCTTGTCGGTCAAAGATGGCTAGATATTGTTGCTCTGCGTGTTTTAGGGCCAAGACTGTCGAGGTCCGTAAACACGCAAATGGAATATAACACGAGACCAATATCCAGCCGTCTTGGTCAATAAAGGATTTTTCCAATGGCATAAGTAAGAATTTTTTTTTGTAATTTTCGAGTATTCCTTCTTACGAGGGAGGGGAAGATTAAAAAATACAAAAAATAGCAAAATCATAATTGAAGATGCAATGGAGGATTACTTTGTCGACTCATGCATGACACCCTGTAGATATGGATAGAATCCGTCAAGCTTTGTTTTAGTATATTTTTTCGTTTTTTTGGTGCTTGTGATAGACTATGTGGTTAATTAGTGAGTCATATATGTTTGTCACACAAGTCAAATCGTTGTGTTTGGTTTGAGAGGACCCGCAAGGAAAAACAACAGCTGGCAATATTACCACACCATTGCTGGCATTGTTGCAGATACTGGTTGCATATGGAGGAATCAGTTTGGTTTGCTTCACTAGCATTAGCGCTCTCGGTTTCTGCTGGAGCTACAAAAATATCAACTATGTTACTTGCAGGATATGGCGAGAGAAACTGTCTCTAGAAATTTGAGTGCGATATGAATACTTTTTCTTGTGCCCACGGACTATTTGTAACATGTTTTATACTAATAGCCACACTTATAGTTTACGGCAGAGAGATTTTCATTTACCTAGATTTAACACTGTTACGTATGGCAAACATTCAATTCGTTATCTAGGCCCAAGACTATGGAGCAAACTTACAAATAAAGAAAGATCGGCGATAAATCTCAAGCAGTTTAAGACCCACGTACGGAGGCTAGATCTAGGCAACATCCTAGATGTAATAATAGTTACTATTACTATTACTCATTACTATTACTCATTACTCATTACTCATTACTCATTACTCATTACTCATTACTCATTACTCATTACTCATTACTCATTACTCATTACTCATTACTCATTACTCA